CTGAGGTTAGGCGAATAAAGACGGCAGCACGGTGACATCGTTTCTTGATGTGAATACCAGTACGGCCCGTCATGGCCACGGGTTACATCGAGGCGTGCCAGTCTCTTCTCTGGTGTCAGAGTTTTGACCCAGGCCCATACGCTTGGACCTAGAGTGGTTGACGGCGGTATGGGTCTCCGTCGGACGAGACGAAAACCACGTCCTTGGGGTCGGACGAGACGGAGCCCGCACCCAAGGGGTCGGTCGAGACGGAGTCTGCGGCCTCTAGGTCGGGCGAGACGGAGTCCGCGGCCTCGAGGTCGGGCGAGACGGAGCCCGGGACCTCAAGGTCGAGCGAGACCTTTTAATACGTCTTGCTCCATCCGGAGAAGTCAGCGTGAATGCTAACTTTCTTGCTTTAGGCATCTCTAATATCGATACCTGACACTATGCTTGGTGAATCTCTTTTATGTGCACAAAATTTAATTATATATTCACCAAGGAATTTTGTTGTTACAAGTTTCTTTTACAGTATTTGCACAGTATATGTAGTTCAAAAGTTGCTGCAGCCGACAACGAACACTCCCATAGTCTAATTAAATAAGCCCTGGTCGCTGCAGCTAGAAGCCACAGCGGCTGCAGCTGGAACAAGTTTCTTCTAAAGTATTTGCACAGTATATGCAGTTCAAAAGTTGCTGCAGCCTGCAACGAACACTCCCATATTCTATGGCCCCTCTCATGTTTTTTTCTGCTCCAACCCGGGTTTGAATTGGTCCATAGGTAAAAAAACATAAGAATTTTGGGAGAATAAAATAAATAGAAGGACTTGAGGGGGACAGAGAAGACGCGTTGGACTTATCAAAATCATTGAGGTTTGATCCTGCATGTTTTCGTGAGGAATGCTATCCTTAGAAGTTTTGACATTTTGATTTGTTTATTTTAAAGGACTGTTTATAGTCATAATTACCCAGGATTGGAATCCCTCAATCCCATGGAGGCCTTACATTGTGGTGGTTCTATCGATTAGGGTGTGTCAAAGCCCGTATCGGATGACTACCAAGTAGCAACCGATTCAACGTAGATGCATTCATTTGCAACTATGCCGTCGACGTGACAGGAAGCTGAACCCGGACAGAGCGAAGGTTGCGCTCCAGGGCAGCGCCCGGCGACCCGGCTGCTCAGAGGACGCGCGCGGCGGCAACCACGGCGATAGATGTCGCCGGCGTGGCAGCGTGGGCGGCGGGTCACCGGGTGCCGTCACACAGCCCGAGAGGCGCGCGCAGGTGTCGCGGCGGGATCGCCCCCCCCCCCCCGGACGGTGGATCGTCGTCCGTCGTGCCGCGACACTTCGGCGCACTGCACCGCGCCGGCCCTCGCGAGTGCGACGGGCCGGCCGGTCGAGCGCGTGGTGGTAGCTAGTGCGCGTCATTCGCGCGCTGTGCGCATTGCTGCGGCGATGATTGGTCGCGTGGACCGTGGCCGACGATACCAACGCGTTCGGATCAACAGCCAGGTCCTTGTCGCGAGCAGCGGTGGTGGCACTACGAAACGAACTCTATCGAAGTGTCGTGTGCAGAACATTTCTGAGGTTTTGGATCTCCTGGCTGGGCTTAGATTTCACCATCAGTCAGTGGAGCATCTGTGCCCCCAATCAGCAAGCGTACCGAGTACCAGAATCGGTAGGTTAGGTGTACGTGCTCTGCTCTTTTCGTTCACGCCACGGGCGCCTCCCTCAAAATGCTCGTAGCTCGCAGCTAGCTAGGCTTTCACCAGCGACCGCTGATCGAGCACCCACAGACACACGACCGTGCGTCCGTCCACTTGTGAAAAAATGGATCTTTGAAAGTACACGATCGTCCGCTCAGAAGGTATATGCCCGGCTGCGTCGTGTAACTCGTGTTCTGAATGAAGGGGGGAAAAGAAAGGGCGTACGCGGTGAGCTTCCTGTTCGTGCCGCTGCCGATGCCGGGAGCCGGGAGCCGTGGCGCGGCCAACTGCAATGCTCTGGGCACATTTTCGTCACCGGAGGAAACTCTACTGTCTAGTAGTATTTGCGTTGATGTGGACAGGTTGACATTGACCAAGCAGCAAGCGAATAACTCGATCAGACTCGTCGAATATATAATCTCAACGGGGGACATCGACATGCACAGGGCCTCGCACTGCCGCGCCGCGTCGAAATCGCGTCCGGCTCCTACTCCGAATCGATGCACGACGTCGGACGGCGACGTGGAAAAGGCGCGCCGCCCCCCCTCACTTCCGCACCGAACCCGCTGACACAATGAACATGGTCTGCTCAGATTCAGACGCGGGTGACTAGAAAAATGGGGCCATGGTTGACGGCCTCGGCGTGAGCCGGGCTAGATGCACTCCTCTCCATGTCTCCATGCCATGAACCATCATGCACATGCGCCGCTCGCTCCGGCAGCTAGCGGATCGCATTCGCTTCGCCGCCAACTTGACCGGGAGGTGAAGGGAATGCGGCGACGTCTCCGGCTGCGGCAGCAGGTGGGCAGAACGGGTGGAATGTTTGGCAAGGCATCTTTCGTTTCATTTTACTCGCCGTCGCCGACTTCTTTTTCTAGGGAGGGCATCTGTTTGTGTATGATAATTGGTATAGGCGTCGAGGCCGCACCTGCTTTGTCCACCGCACTCGATACAGATACCAAGTTGTACGTGTGCAAGCCAAACAAAATACAGGCTTTTACATGTATGTCATTATAAAAGTTGATAATTATACATAAGTCATTAAAAAAATTAAGTTCTCACAGGTGCCACCCTACACGTCACTTTCATCAGATTTAGTACTAACGGTGTCAAACTACAGGCGTAAAAAAATCAAAAATACCCTTAGGTTTGAATATGTAATTTTTTTGAGCATCTTAATGATCTCAAATGAAAAAACTCAAAATTAGATCGAGACCTACAATATTTATATAAAAATTATTTTCATTTAATTATGTATAAAAATGTGATTTTTCTAAGACATATTAATCATATCAAATCATTTTTTTTGTACGGAATTAAATGAAAGATAACTTTTTATAAAAAAATATAGATATTATCGAGATCTACAACTTTCTAGTTTTAAGTTTTTTTCATTTGAGGTCATTAACATACTAAAAAAAATTAATTGCGTATTCAGATCTAAAGGTATTTTTAACTTTTTACACCCACGATTTGACACCGTTAGGACTAAATCTGACAGAAGTGGCATAAAGAGCAAAAAAGTTCGTGAGAACTCAACTTTTTTAGTAGCTTGTATATAATTACCAACTTTTATAACGACACATAGCTAAAAACCTCAACAAAATAGCCCTGATTTCGCACGCCTCAGCGGCCATCGAGGACCGATCACAAACTTCACCAATACTTCAATCCTGATCTTGTAATGAAATATGAAACCCTGCTGGAAGTAGCAACATCCGTTGATACACCTACAGCCTAAACCTCGAGCACATTCATTCTTTATTTTCCCTTCTTTCTCCAACCTCCAACACATTCTCGACATTATATTTCAGCGTCAAACCAAAATCACTACAACAGAAACTCAGCTTGATGGTTGCAATCAAGGGCACGGCATGCATATTTCAAAATGGCGGCACAAACTTTAATCTAAATGAAAAAAAATGAAGAATCTCATGAAAAAAAAATGCCGGCTAGCAACCCAATGAGCCTTTGCACAAAACTGAAGGCACCCTTCAAGGTCAGACATCTTGAAGAAAATAAGATATGTATCATGTATCACAGCACAAGGTGGAACAAAAACAACCGACCCATTATAGCCCATAAGCAATAGGGTACCTCAAGCCCATCCCATGGAGACTTATAGCACCACCACTCAAGCCAAATCGTTATGGATGCAACTCAGAAAGACAAGCAAGCAGGATCGATAATTCTACTATATATATATTATATATTATAACACATGAGGATATTTACCGTAACGTTATAGTAAATCACATAGTAAGGAGTTACTATAATCTCGTGAATTAGCATAGTAATTATCGTAACTCAAAGTAGCCACAGAATAAGTTATTTTATAGCCAGCTGCAGAACAGTAGTTCTCTCTCTCTCTATATATATATATATATATAAACAGAATCAGCAGCATTCGTCAATATTGCACATGCACAAATTGGAACAAGCAGGTATGCACAAAGATGACAAATTCGAAACAGTAAAAGACACTAACTACTGCTACTTTAGTCAGCATGAAAGCACCACTTCAATTGTAAGACAAATATGTAAGTTGCGGTACAAACACCATATACACTGGTATGCAAATTGTACCAAGAACCCCTGAGGGTCAAAATAGAATCCTAGTCAATATGATATGTTTGGGGTCTTCACAGTCTAAATGAACATGCCATTTTATGCTACCTAGTTTCAAACACTGCTCTCATCAGTCATCACGAGAAAATTGGCCGACCCAACGGACTGAGAAAACTTGATTCAATGTTCACTGAATATACAAGGAAGAAGAAAAGGAACTTCAAATGGTTTTGGAATCACAATTGATCTCATGTGCATAAATCACTGGAAATACACAGTGCTAACATATAGGAAACTCCTGCATTTTCTGGACAAAACACAGGTTACATAACGTGAACATAAAACATGATATATTCTTTTAATCTAAAAAAGAAAAGCAAAGAAAAACATGTGTGCCTTCTTCAGAAGGACCCCAGTAAAAACACTGTACTCACAGCAAGAATACGCATGGCAGCCAAGCCAAACTGTGACAAAGAATCACTAAGTTACTATTATAGCAAGAAAAATATAAGAAACACCTGCATTTCAGCCAAGATAGATTCAATTATCTCCCTTCATTTTTCATGCACAACAATTTCACAGAAAGATGACTTATCTCAGCCAACAGTCAAGGTACACAAGCTCGGTTCGATACACAAGTAAAACTTTTTCAACCAACTGCAACTGAGACCAAAACAAGAAAAGAAACAGATGACAGCTTTTACTTTTTTTTATTCAATGGCCTCTTACCTACAGGGTAGGGGAAACTAGGAAGATCCTCCCCTGCAGAAAGTAGGCCACTCATATGGACGAGGTGATGGAGCAGGATCCATTGGATGGTTACTGTCATGCAACCCAGCGATGCCTGCACCACTGAGGTTCCCAGGTGTCCTTGTTGATCTGCCACCCATGAACATGGTTGACCATGTGTCCGACAGCCGCTCGCTCTTTGCTGCTGGGTTCAATAACGTTGTGTCGATGCTCCAGTCTACTGAGGTGTAGTCATAAGGTGCTGGCCCATTGGTTCTCCAATCAGAATGAGGCAATGCAGAGGACGACTCAGATGAATTCCACCCTCTAAATGCCCCGAGTGATGACGCCACAGAACGGGAAGATGATGTACCTCCAGAACTCCAGGTGCCACCCCAACCATTCGCAGCCAGCTCTATAGGATTAGAAACAAAACTTTGTTGATGGTTTGCATGTCCAAACAACCTGGCAGAACTAACACTGTCCAAACTCATATTCCTTAGTCCATGACCTAAGCCCCCATTCAACATCATATCCACGCCTGATGTGCCATTTAAGAACCAATCCCTCGCAGATTGTTCTGCCGCAAACATACTATGGCTAGTGGATGGTAGGCTCTGCTTGGTACCTTCAGATTGAGGACGCTGCATTACAATTACTGACTCTCGCAAGCTTCCATTGGGCATTGAACTTTTCACCTCATTGGTTCCTGCCACATGCCGCATGTCTGACTTCAGTTGTGGCACTGCAACAGGCAAAGGAGACGATGCCACATAAGGAACTGACGGAATCGAGTTGGGATTGAGACGTCTCTTCTCAGGTTGAACAAATTGCTGACGGCCCAAATCTGGCTTAATTGGTGTTACCAGTGGCTGAAAACCTTTAATTGCAGGTTCCTTTGGACCACTACCATTCATCAAAAGCTTATAGTTTATGTCCTTCTCCTCTCTTCTCATCTGCTGAGATCCTACTGATGAAAATCCATTTGTTTGAGGCCTTACAGGGTTCTGTGCAAGTACAACTTGCTGCTTGTTAGGCAAGCCACTTGAATCGCCAGATCCCTCAGGCTTTGGTGGGACTGCAGTTGATTCTTGTTTGTGTGTCTTCAAGACCTCCTCAGCCCTTTCTAGATCACCTTCACAGGAAACAACTGCTCTTTCAACTTCTTGCTTTGTACACTTATATTTTGCCTCCAAGCTCACAATCTTTGAAAGCTCATCGGCTATATCAATCTTCAAGTTAGCTCCAGACTGTTGATCAGCTGCAAGTTGTTGCTTAGCTTCCTCACTGCCATCAAAGTTGCAGAGCCAGGTAACAGATTCCTCAACGCAACCCTCATTCTGTATAAGGGCCATCGTTGCTTGATCTGCTGAGAAACCCATCGCAACAAGCTTCTGTGCAAGTGCCTCCAATTTTCTGGACATAAGGTATCCCTTACAACGCTCGTGCAATTCTTGGGCACGCCTCTCCTTCTGCCTTTGATGCTTCTTCTCATTTTTCTGTCTGATCTTCTCGCGTTTATCAATATCACATCCAGGAACAGAGTCTACCCAAGACGCGGTACTGGTTGGTTTTTCCTTTGGATCTTCTGACTCACCAGAGCAGCTACCATTGTTGGACGCACAATCAAAATCCCCTGTACCATGGGAGCTGCGAGAATGCTCATCTATTTCATCTGTATTCCTGAATTTATCGATGCCTTGGCTACCCAACAAAGAGGCTGATGGTTCCAGAACATGGAACTTTCCAGAGAGGTTGCTATAAGAACTTGCAAGCGTACCATTTCCCATTGGCTTTGCAGCAACCTTGGGTTGCTCTTTTGCAACTTTTGCAGCTGATCTGTCTTTCGACTTGGACTTGGATGCAGAAGGCATTTCTGACAAAGTGATTACACTGCCTACACCTGAGATGAAATTTGTAAAAGAAAAAAGGTTAGCACTCTAAGCTAACATGTGTAAAGTACTGATTTTCTTCTTGGCCAATGAGGCAATTTCAATCATAAGAAATACAGAATACCAATATCCAAATAAAAAAATAACTACAAATGTAGAGTACATATCTAACCAAACATAAGAATGCCAAACAGCTAGGTCAGCTCAAACAGCTGTTTTAAGGAAACACACCATGCAACATGATCCATATTACAGCTAATCTAACAGCCAAAAAAAGCCTGACATCCTGATAACAAATGAATGCCATGTTGCTCGCTACACAACAATAAGAGACATTTTGGCTCCACTTTCATTTGAAATGCAACCTCCGTCCACTAATGATGTTTCATTTTAGTTATTTTTTCTGCAGCAAAGAAATTGTGCTTGCTTCGATCTCCCATGTCCTATAATCAAGCAACAGAACACAATCTTACACACATAACAACAGAACTAAAGCAAGAGATTACTAAATCGTTACAGAATCAGAGAATTCTAACTCATGGGATTAGCTCCGAGTATATTCGCTTATTTTCCCTTTGCCATCGGATTATTGAATCAAAACAGGAATCTTACAACTTTTTTTTTTGAAAGACCAATTTACACCTACTATAACCAGAATTTTGACTGAATGAGCGTTTTGCATCTATTAGCTTCCAGAAAAACTGTGTTTGCATTCCAAATCCCTTGAATTCGGAGACCTAATCATCAGTCGGTAGATAAGAAACCAAAAATTCTCTTTTCACGAAACTCTACAGCATAGTCACCCATAGCTTCACCAGCACCCTGACACCGAGACGACCCCTGCAAATCCCCGCACGTCACCACCTGCGCCCCAATCGAATTCCCCGAAAATTCTAGACGTGGGGCGTTCCTCCATGCCCATGCGCGCATGATACGCCCGCCACGGCCACCCACGCCGCGCAATCACGCGATCCCCCGCAGCCCGAGCGGCCGTTCCCCGTCGGAATTCCACGGGAGCGCGGCTCCCGCGCACGCTCCAGCGAGCGTTGGCATTCCCGCGCGTCAGCGGATCAAACCATGGGGCACCGAACTCCACGCCCGAATCGAATCGAACCAAACCAGCGTGGGATCAGAGAGGGAGGGGAGGAGAAACAGAGAGCGGAAGGGGCGGGGAGACGAGGAGCTTACCCGGCGCCGAGGGAGAGGCGTAGGGTTTTGGCCTGCGGGCGGGCTGCGGGGATCGGGGGGCGGCGAGGGATTGGGGACGGGGGGCGAGAGCCTTCTAGGGTTTGGTTGGTAAGTTGGTTGACGCGGGTGTGGTGGCCGGGTGGGGAGGAAATGGAGACGAAGCGAGACGGGACCAGGCGAGCGAGACAGCGGGCGGGCGGGCGAGCGAGAGACCAGAGACGGGACGGAAAGGAGGCCGCGCGCAGCGCAGGCACAGGCACAGGCACAGGCACAAACCGACGAGCGATCGGGTGGGTTTCGGGTTGGCGTTGGCCTCCTGGGTTGCCATGCCGCGCTGGTCTATTGCGTTCCGCGTGTGGTGGGACGGCGCGTGCGTTCCTGCGCGTGCGTGGATCGGGTGGGGGCGCGGCCGCGACCGCGAGATCCTCGAACTTTTTTTATTTTCACTTTTGTATATTTTTTTTTCTATAATTTCGTAAATCTTGGCTTATGGCGCTATGGATCCCGACGTTATTTTTAAACCGCTAAGTTCATCTACTAAAGTCTTTTTTAAATTCACCTTTAAATTATTATTTAAGAAGTCATTTACATAAAAAATCACTCTCGGTATCTTGTCACCCTCCAATTCTTTTATATATATCTTGTGCATGCTCTATAGCCAATTTCACTCTCTATCTTCGGCTAGCGGCTGAGCTACTTCTTTCTCATGGATAGTTGTACCCTCGTTGCGCCATTTTCTTGATTTTTTTTTTCAATAGGGACTGTAACTATCATCTTCTTTATTAATAGAAACTAGCACTGTACCATGCCGGTTCGTTAAAAAAATATCTTCGGCTAGCGAGAAATTCAAATAGAGAATGATAATAATTGGAGGTCTAATTAATATAGAGAAAGACAATAATTGGACATCTAATTTAAAAAGGTTTTTGTAGGGTATTTTTTCACCAAAATCTTTATTTCTATCTGTAACGAAGGATATTATAGAGGGCTTTTGGAGTTGGTCTAAACCGGTCAACGGTTTTCTTACCACTATATCACTCAGTGGTATGCAGTTAATGCGGCCAATGGCCTCGAAGCACACTAACCATCATCTCATCTAGAGTTAAGGTGGGACAAAAAAAGTCGTTGCATCTCCCGTAAAAGGCTATCGGCGCCGATCTGAGGGCATATCATCGTCTTCCGACAGTGGTAAGCTCCCCCACCAGAGATGGCAATGGGGATTCGATCCCTAATTCTCCATGAGAAATTTTCCTATTAGAACGGGAATAATTTTCCCCATGGGAAATGAAATTGAGGGGGGGGGGGGGCTCTCCCCGTTTGATTTCACGGGGATGGGAAAGTATCTCCCGTCCCCGTTCCCTGCCTCCGCGAAGCTATTTCTTGTAGCAATCTTACACCAATATATTGTTTTCATATAGATATAGTGTACTGGACATATGGAGGTCTATTGATTATTTGATATCTTTTAAGGATAAGTTGATAGATTTTTTAAGGTGCTTGTTGTTAATCTATAATTGAATTTTGTGAGAATTGATAAGCTTAAGCAAGGATTGGGAATCCCCGCCGGGATTAATTCCCCGACGGAGATGGGGATGGTGAAGATATCACCGACGATATTCACAGGGACGGGGATAGAGAAAATTCTCCCCGTGGAGATGGGGATGGCCGGATGGGGACCTAACCTTGCAAGTTAGTGAAAAAGTCATTTTAATTAAAAAAAAGGAAAAAAGAGTAGAGAGGAGAGGTGTTAGGGGGTCAGCCTTTAACGCAGTCCCTGAAGACACATAAAGTTTTGACTAACGCAATGTCAAAAACACAATTGTTTTTGCTTTCAGGGCCACCTTCGTAGAAAAAACCGATATAAAAGAACCTTCATCTAATAACAGTGAAGACCAATACGTGAAGCTAAAGACGGATAAGCGAAGACAAAAGCTAACAACGCAACGCCGAACATGGGTGGCTCACTTCGGGATGTAGCGAAGATGATGTCAGACCAAGACGAAGTCAACTTGAATATGGCTCACGAAGACTCCTGGTGCAAAGATTCATCTCATCTGTCAAAGCCAAAGGATTCATGTAGGAGTGTACTGCCAGTGAGCTAAGGATAGTATTGCCCTTAATGGAAACGATAGCTTGTTGTAAATGTAATGTCAAAGCCATGGATAACAGGGGAATTGTATAGGAATAGGAATAATCGAAGACTCCCTCCACTACAAATATCCCTAAAATTATGTACTTTTTTTAGACATAAAAATTATATAAAACTGAGTTAAATCTACACTTTGATGCTTGTGTGAATATTCACAACATGAGTGAGTAGTGAGGAGGCACATGAGTAGTCAAAGGTCTTAAATGGCTAGAGGAGGTAAATAGCCTATAAAAAATATCTATAAATTTACAAGAGCAAATGGTTAGTACACTAAATGACGAAATGTAAATTTGCTTTAGTTCTACAAAGGTTGCAAGCCACCTACACCACAATTCTAGTCAATTAATATCTCTAAGTCACACACAAGGCTAAGTCTCTAGTTCTACACTAGTGGAGCTAGCTAAGCAAGATAGCAACTAAATGGCGAAATACAATAGAGAAGGGGTGAATAGCCTATAAAAAAATATATACAAATTCAATAGAGCAAAGTGTTAGTAACCTAAATGGCGAGAATATAATTTTGCTCTAGCTCTACAAGGGTTACAAGCCACCTAAATCATAATTCTAGTTCTCTAAAATCTCTAGGTACACACAAAGGCTATGTCACTACTCTTACTCTAGTTGAGCTAACTAACAACTAAACAAGAGGCTAAACAAGCTATTCAACTAACTAACAAGAGAGCTATACTACTCAAACTACCTCTAAAACAAGTAACACACTACTACACTCGCGCCTTTCACAGCCACGTCGTAACTCACATCACAGTCCAATTTTGGCCTTGGTAGTAAGCTGTCGACAGTGATGGTCATAGCCTTCATCGTCGGCATCTGGGACCGACTGCGGTGTACACTAACACCGTCGATTGGCTTATGATCCATCCGTGATTAGGTCCTTACTTCAGTTGCATTGGAGCATGATCCGGCTGTGGATGTACACTAACACCGCCGCATTGGCAAATGATCCGACTGTGTCGAAGCTATCAAAACCATCGTGTGGGCACATCAATCGCATGTGTAGTGGTCACTAGCACCGTCGCCTTGTACTTTGACCCGACTGTCAGCGGTGCGAGTTCACTGTCGGTTCGACGGTCGAGACGCCCGTGTAGAGGTTAACACCACCATCGCTTCAGTGTATGATCCGCTAGTACAAAGGTCATGGTCAATGTCATCTTGCACCACGATCCGCCTTTGATGATCGTTTAGTCGATGTCGGGTTACTAAAGGATTCGGCGGTGATATACTTTTGATCCCTGCCACATCATACATATAGCGACGGTGACAAAATTTCATCCGGTTTCACAATAGTTACTAATTCAGCTGGGCCCTTAATAGCTTCATGAACACAAAACATACAGATATATAATCATTACATCCATAAATCATGTTCACAAACAAGAGTACATTTTACAATAATAATGGACGCTACCATAATATCTTTCTCAACTGATGTCCTAACATAAGTTGTACATAGAGCATACTAAACGTACTAATGTATATAGACTTACATAACGAAATGACGTAGTTGTCCTCCTTCTATGTGGCACTCCTGCTTGCAAGGCAAAATGAATATAATTAGTGCATCCTTCGGATTGGTAGCCAATGCACCATGAAACCCCACTTATTCTTTTCTAATCCACAACCTGAA